CTCACAACTCCACCGATGTTTGTTTTCCTTTCCTGAGCATATTGCGATAGTTTGGGAGTACTTATGAGTGACTCACATGTGTGTCACTGTCACCCACAGATCCCAACAACAGATACTGACAATCTAAAATGACATATAGTTGCTGACAGCTACTTAAAATGATCATTTTCATGCCAGTTCTTGCGCTTGCTCAGAACGTGATCGAAACTAACTCTCTTTCAGATTAAAGCGGAATCTCTATCGAAGTGTCTTTACCAGTAACCTTAATCATAACAATTAGGTGTGGGTAGTGACTTTTTCATATTTGGTTTAGAAATAATACCAACCCTACCTGCCTTGCTGTGCCCAGAAGTAGGAGGAACAGAAAGAGCTGAGCCTTGCACCCAGCTAACCCCCATTTTTTGGGCAGGCATAAGCCGTCAAAAGCTTTAAAACTTTGTGGGGTTTTTTTGGTCTGTGGTTTTCGGTTTGATTTGTTGTTTTCTTTTCTCTGTTTGTTTCTATTTTACAAAACAAAAAGCTCCCAACTAAAAAAAGAAAAAAAGAAAAGGAAAACACAGAGCTCTTCATACTTTCATACTTTTCGTATGACTGCTATCCTTTACAGAGACCCAATTTACATGTGAAAGTTGATTGCAACATTTTCCTTCCAATCCCTCCTCTGGAACCATTGTTCATAAAGTTATTTAAAGTCTTGTGTTTTCATACATGTAACCCACACTCTTTAAAGGTATTGTTCCTTGCAAATCCGTCCCTCAGATAACCCACATCCTTAGATAAGCTATGGTTTCCGTCTCCCCCACTCCTGCCTGCTTTTCGAATGTGGCTACAGTTCCAGTAAGCTCTCTAGCTTTTAGCAGAATTACCCTGCTATGAGAGCGAGAACAAAGGGAGATAATGAAGTTAGTGGGGTAAGAAAGCAGGCTAGGAAGGACCAAAAATAGGTAATATTCTCACCATCTTGCTCACAGATGCATAGAACAAGCACAGGTGCTGAATCTCAGGCTTCTGGCAGATCACATACGCAAGAATTTGTACTCATATTGCTTTCTTGAAGTTTTCTCTATGTCAAGAAAGTAATGTACCTTAAAGGCACAGATGTACCTAAAGGATATGAACACCTCTTTGTCATCACCGTGTCACCTCCTTTAAAACCTCTTAATGCATCCACAGGGATGAGTATTTGGCCTCACCCTCACCTGAAGGGTTTAACAAGGCTGCTGCAGTCACATGAGACTTCAGGCAGCCACAAACCGCACATTCAAGAGCGGAGATGACCAGTTGGCAACCCGAAGGCAAAGTCCAGCCAGCTCACAGCCCGGCGTGGCCCTATGGCAGGCCAGCCAAACCAAGGCACTGCAGCACCACGCCGGGGCAGGGAGAGCTCATTAGGAGAAATGTAAAGCTGTGTGGGTCAGGCTTTCAGATGCTTGATTAGGAACAAAACACCACTGAGTATGCATTGTTCACATAACCATGATGGGCAAACGAATAGAGAAACTACTGTGGTCACCCTCAGGGTATGTGTTTCCACAGACACACGGAAACTGTCTTATTGCAAACAACTTGTCATCCACCCAAGCTACTGCCTTTCTCCAACTACAGTCAGCAAGAGATACTTCAGAGAAACCCGCATGAAACATTCTCCTCTTTCCAATGAGATGTTTATGAAATTTGTAAGAAGCACTACTATTAGCCGGTATAATTTTGAACGTACCTGATATTCATGCAATTGTCCCATCTTCTTTCCAAACTTGGCTAAATTCTTGTCCTCGGCAACATTGTGCATGAGAAATTCCACCATTTAATCACGTTGCATGGAAAAGCATTTACTTTTGTTCATTTTAAATCAGTCACTTTCATGGTGGCTCCTGCATCTCACAGGCATTAGTACAAAGGAATAGAGTCTCCTTTGACAGTATTCATGACTCCTGTGACACCTTTTCTAATGTGCGTGTCCTTTATATAGGAGCAATTGCAACCTACTGATCAAAATGCCTCAGGCTCCCTGCCATTTTTACTGTCCTTCTTCAAAACAGTGAACTTCACAAAGCAGAAGGGAGTCATTTAAGTTTTACAGTTAGACATTACACATGTTAACACAAATAGTAATTTCAACCAACAAGGCAACAGTCAGGCTTGAAATCAAATAACAGGTGTCTCAGTTCTGACCATGGCCCTCCATACTCTTATTCGCACTATAAATTGTAATTAAAAATATATACTGATGACCATACTATATTTAAAAGCAATTCAACTCCACTGAAACTGTGGCCAACACTATTTTGTGCCTTGCAAAACTCAAGGCTAAAGCTCTGAGCCATTACACAGCACTGTATTTCAGCTCTGAACTTAAGCCCCTATATAACCTAGGGGAACAAAAGTTTTGGCAAGGGATGCAGGACTGAATCTGCACTGAAATTATTTGAAAATTTTAACTACACCACACCAGCTCCTGATTCTGGTAAGACAGCAGCCCAGCACCTCTCATAAACACAGCACAGCCAAAGCTGATAGTCACAGAAATTCAACCCTGAGATCTGATGTGCTCTGCAAGTCTTCATGACATGAGGCAACTAAATTGCATGGGAAGCCAGATTTTATACCTATCTGTGATTGTTGAGATATTGGATCTGAAAATCACTGCTGGCCCACCAGTCTAGAGGCAGGCGTCCACACAACAGCCCTAGCGTCACAAGACCGCGTCCCAAACAACACCACTTGACGCTCTCATCCCTGAACACTGGAAGGCTGTTAGTCCAAGCAGTGGCTAACTAAAGGGGCCAGGACATACAGAGCCAGAAGAGCTGGGCATGCTCCACAGCATCCCTGCCCTGACACCGAAGGGAAAAACCTCTCCTCAGCGAGACGAGAGCTGAAGTTTCGATCATAGTTTGCTACTAGCTTTTCTGCCAAGACAGCTTACGAGGGTGGCAGCCAGTACCAATCGTAACTGGCAACTGAGACTTGCACGCTGAAGATGCATCTGTTCAATGGCGGGGGAAGAAATCTGGAGAGCAGCCCTGGCCCTGACAGACCTAGACTGCAAGGCACATGGTAGTTTATAACAATAGCGATCCAGTGTAGATCAGGGCTGCACCTACAAAATCATCAATGAGATACTATTTTGGCTGCTGTATGTCTCATCTCCCTGGATACGGCCTCCTTTTCCACCGAGGAGTTTATCCAGGCAGAACGTAAGGGCCAGGTATTTCTGTTTGGGATAGGTCCAACAGACTCGCCACACACCTGCTACCTGCCACCAGGCATCTCTCTCTAGCCAAGAGGTTCCAGACAGGCCTACAGTGACCCTCAGCACCTGTGCGCTCCAACGGGCCTGGAAAACTATGCTCAGTTGTGTCACCAAGGTGTCAGGAGCACCACAAAGTGAAACACTGCGAGCTATAGAGACAGCAGGACAGATTCCCCAGGAGCCTAACGTGGACAGACAGACAGCTCAAGCAGCCGGGACGGGAGGAGAGTCAACGAGGAGCAGCAGGGCATCAGGAGGCAGGGAGAGTTTCCAGAGCTTTTACCAATGTGGATTTAGTGCTGCTGCCATCCTGGACCAGGTGCCTACCTCATCTGGTAGCTTTTCCCAAAAAGGAGCCAACATAAGCTGACTCAGAGGAAGCTGCAAAAGAAAATTCCTAAAGAAAACAATTAAAGGAAAACTTCATTTGAAATACTCAACAATTAGAGGACAGCTTAGACTGCACGCAGTAAGCCTGAAGGCCCACTAGCGGCACCAGCATTTTGCCACTGAGCTCCAGGCAGGGTTAGACACACAGGATCACATCTTGATTCCTCAGGTGCCCTAGGGCCACCAGCCACCCTTGTGGACAGCTGGTCCCACCAGGGAAAAAACAGCTAATAAAGGATAAGCAACTGAAAAAGAGAAACAACAGAGCTAATAAAATTAGGAATGATAGTCCAAGAAAAAATTTCAACAGTAATACTTTATCCTTGCATAGATGTATTTTCCAAGGGAAATCCCAAATTCTAGAGTATTATTTAGCCTTGTCTGGACCAGTCCTGCTACAGTAAGGGCGTGGAGTAGAAAAATCAACAAGTCCCTTGCATCCCTAAACTGCACTGCTGTATTTCCGCAACAGAGCAGGTTGGGCCAAGAGATGCACTTCACAGAGGACAGCACCCAACATTTTGCAGTACAAATTAAGTTGTGTCATTTACAAATGAAATGATATGTGTCCCATTCTCAGCTTCCAAGGAAGCCCTGCCCTCCTGAAACCCAGATGTCTGCAAATACTTGATCAGCCTCAGCCACCACATGTTACATCACCCAGTTCCCAGTCTTTCAGTGACTCCCCGCTCTCTTTCAGATTTTGCTCCAGAAATCATTCCTGGAAGATGCGAGCACAAACTCCACAGAAAAGCGGGTCCACAAAGCAGAGAAATTCTCTAATCTAGAGCAGCTCCCAGCACTGAAGACTTCCAGGTGAGACCCCACATTCCACATTGGTCAGAAGCACTTCCGCATAGGGGCCAAAGTCTCGCGGATGCATAGGGAACTTGACCCAGCAAGTTTAATGGTTCCCTCAAACTCCTGAACTTTTGTGTAATCAAATGAAATCACCTAATAAGGGAGACAGATACCAGACAGGAACCCAACCCAAAAACTAAAGAACTGGGCCAAAAAGCCAGCTTTTACAGGCATGGAAACAAAACAAAACAAAAACTCAAAATACAACAAAGTAGAAGACTCTAACATTCATTTCATCAGTGGGGCCAACTGCACTTCGAGGTACGGCATAGCCAGCACAACTATGCGTGACTTTTCCCCATCAACACCTCTTACTGCAAGCCCTGCTTGCTCCCTAGCACAGCCCCAGGGCACGGAGATTGCTCCCCAACAACAGCAGGAGTGAGATTTGCCTCCTGTTTGAAAGGGCAAAAGGGGAAAAAAAAAAAAAAAAAAAGAAGAAGAAGAAGAAAAGCCTTGCGTGACGTCAGAGTGTGGGAAATTTCTACATACTTACCTGCCTGGGAAGGGTGGGCCTCCCCTGGTATATAAAAGGGTGCCAGGGCTTTACTCAACTTGCTATTGTTATTCGCACACGCTATTGTTATGCGGCCGAGGGGTCCCGCCGCGCAAGGTGCCACGCGGGCCCCA